AGGCAGTCACACTGAGACACAAATACAGAGCAAACACAACTGATAAAACACTGCTAGATGTTCTGTCCCTATCTATTTCTTAGGTTCCCACTAGTCCCTGTCTCATACACACATAAAAACACCTTCGTTAAAGTCTCAAGATGGCCATCTCCCTGAATACCTGCTCTGTTCTTCATAACATCCATTTCCATGACCCGCTCCCTTACGTCCACTGACAGGCATGTTCCAGTCGTGCGTACTGCACAGGTGATGGAGAATACGGAATGACCCCTCCATGCACCGGCATAGAGCTTCGGCAGTGGTGACATCAGATGATCCTCCGTGGAGAGCACATCACTCCGGTTTCATCCGCCGGCTGACGTGCGGCTCCGCCTTTGACCCGGGGCTGGTAATGCTTTGCTAATTGCCAGGGAATGACTAAATGCCATGTTGATTACTGACAGTCCATATTGGGCTGTGTCTTCTCCAGACAGTCTGTGTTAGCTGGTGGCTAGCACATGATTAAGTGCATGGATGGGGCTTTTGTGGAGGGACACCTTCACACACACACACACACACACACGCTCCGGGTCATCGCGAGGACAGGGAGCCATTCCTGCTGGTCATCTTCAGTTCAGATTGTGGGCCATTGACAGATCTGTCAGCAAGAGAGAGGGTCACATGGAGTGTATGTGAATGCATGTGTGCATTTGTTTTAAGGAGGTTGTCTATGATTATCTCAGGTCACATTCATGGCTAAACATTCAGTTAGTGGGGAGAAAGCTGGCAATATTTTTTTCATATTTGCATGTGTATCATAAAAAATTTAAATATGTAATTTGAAAGTATATTTTCATTTGATCATATATAGGCCTACATATATTTGATATACACTCACCTAAAGGATTATTAGGAACACTATACTAATACTGTGTTTGACTCTCTTTCTCCTTCAGAACTGCCTTAATTCTACGTGGCATTGATGCTGAAAGCATTCTTTAGAAGTGTTGGCCCATATTGATAGGATAGCATCTTGCAGTTGATGGAGATTTGTGGGATGCAAATCCAGGGCACGAAGCTCCCGTTCCACCACATCCCAAAGATGCTCTATTGGGTTGAGATCTGGTGACTGTGGGGGCCATTTTAGTACATTGAATTCATTGTAATGTTCAAGAAACCGATTTGAAATGATTCGAGCTTTGTGAAGCATTATCCTGCTGGAAGTAGCCATCAGAGGATGGGTACATGGTGGCCATAAAGGGATGGACATGGTCAGAAACAATGCTCAGGTAGGCCGTGGCATTTAAACGATGCCCAATTGCCACTAAGGGGCCTAAAGTGTGCCAAGAAAACATCCCCCACACCATTACACCACCACCACCAGCCTGCACAGTGGTAATAAGTCATGATGGATCCATGTTCTCATTCTGTTTACGCCAAATTCTGACTCTATATCTGAATGTCTCAACAGGAATCGAGACTCATCAGACCAGGCAACATTTTTCCAGTCTTCAACTGTCCAATTTTGGTGAGCTCTTGCAAATTGTAGCCTCTTTTTCCTATTTGTAGTGGAGATGAGTGGTACCCGGTGGGGTCTTCTGCTGTTGTAGCCAATCCGCCTCAAGGTTGTGCGTGTTGTGGCTTCACAAATGCTTTGCTGCATACCTCGGTTGTAACGAGTGGTTATTTCAGTCAAAGTTGCTCTTCTATCAGCTTGAATCAGTCGGCCCATTCTCCTCTGACCTCTAGCATCAACAAGGCATTTTCGCCCACAGGACTGCCGCATACTGGATGTTTTTCCCTTTTCACACCATTCTTTGTAAACCCTAGAAATGGTTGTGCGTGAAAATCCCAGTAACTGAGCAGATTGTGAAATACTCAGACCGGCCCGTCTGGCACCAAAAACCATGCCACGCTCACAATTGCTTAAATCACCTTTCTTTCCCATTCTGACATTCAGTTTGGAGTTCAGGAGATTGTCTTGACCAGGACCACACCCCTAAATGCATTGAAGCAACTGCCATGTGATTGGTTGATTAGATAATTGCAATAATGAGAAATTGAACAGGTGTTCCTAATAATCCTTTAGGTGAGTGTATAACCCCTTTTCAGTACAGTAGTATGAGACAGTATATATATATATATATATATATATATATATACACACACATATACTGTATACACACACACACTACATTTTGTGGTCGGTAAGATTATTTTTTTTAATAATTTAGAAATGTATGCTCACCAAGGCTGCATTTATTTGACATTTATAAAACAGTAATATTGTGAAATAACATGTTTATTTATTGCCTTGATGGCAAAGCAGAATTTTCTGCATCATTACTCTAGTCTTCAGTGTTACGTGATTCTTCAGAAACCATTCTAATATGCTGATTTGGTGCTCAAAAAAAACATTATTATCAGTGTTGAAAACAGTTGATAGATTCCTTTCAGGACTAGTTGAGGATTAGAATGATCCAAAGAACAGTATTTATTTCAAATAGAAATCTTTAGTAATATTATGAATTCTTTTAAGGTCATTTTTGATCTATTTTATGGATCCTTGCTGAATAAAAAGTATTAATTTCTTTAAAAATAATCTTACTGACCCCATTCTTTTGAATGATTTTGAGTGTGTGCCATGTGACTGACAGACATATATCTCCAGATGGACAATTCAGGAGTCGACGGGGAGAGAAAGCGGACAGGAAATTGGACATGACATCAGCTAGTAGCAGGATCAGGGGCCAGGTGGGATGCTGATATTCCAGTGTGTGTTAACCCAGATAAAATCCTGCTGTTCTGACATGTTTTGCTAATAAAAACACTGAGAAAGGTCTTGTGGTTTAACAAAGCAATGGTGCACTGTAAAAAACACTAATACACGGAGACACTAATACAGATGATAAATTATTGGTCACCAATAACCCAAACCTCAAGTGTGATGGTGTATTATGAGTTTAGCCATCAGGCACTCCTCTCCATTTCTCAATGCAGACCATTATTAATCTTTTAAAATATTTACTTGATACAACAGAAGCCATATAAAGTTCAATCAATACAACAAGACAAACATTCTAAATTTCATATTTGCTCTCATTTCTAACTCCTTTTCAGTATATTCTGATGTTTTGACAGGCCTAAGTAAAAACACAGTGTTGGGGGGTTGAGATGGGTATCAGACTCAAGGGACTATGAGGGACGGTGGTAAACTCAGATTGCTTCTCACATGCGTCTGTGTTGTTGGGGGAGGGTTATGATCTCTCCCTACACCCGCTTCCTTGTCCCGGACAGTCTAACAGTGTATTTGGGTGTTGAGTCAGTCCTATATCTTGTCATGTGATATATTTATATCAGATCTATTACAACAATATATCCATAATATATATCACATGGTCAATGTCAGAAATTAGATTAGTGACATATAGTGCAAAATCAAATATTTGTTTTATGTCATAACTAGGGTTGGGTACCGAAACTCGGTGCCAATAGGGAACCGGTTCCGACGTAAACGGTAGTAACCAGACCGAATAAGAACGAAAATTTCGGTGCCTGATTTCGGTGCCTAACTTCATTAGGCACACACGCACACACACAAGGTCTCTCGCTCTCTCTCTCTCCGCCGTGCGTGTGCTACACAGTTTGGAGCACAGTCTCTTCTGTCTCGCAAGCGCGCTCTTTTTTTTTTTTTTTTTATTGAAGATAATCAACAATACAATCAAAATAGCAAAAGTTAAAGAAATACCCCAAAAAATAAAAAAAATAAAAAAATATATAAAAAAAATAAAAAAATACAGACACTAAAACACAAGATTATTACTCAAATAAACACATTAAACATAGTACAATTAACTACAGTTTTAACAGCTTTTTTGTTTTGCATGGAAGAGATGGTAGAAATATAATGTTCCATTTCAGTTTTTAGCACCGAAAAAAGTGGTTTTTTATTACTGAATTTACATTTATGGATATGGAATTTGGCAACAAATAAGATTAGGTTTACTAGAAAGAGAGCACCAATGTCCTTCCCACAGTCACTAAAACAACCAAAAATTACATTTTTGTAGTACAGGGAGAACTCAGGAAGAATATTGTCAACTACAAATGAATTAATGTCTTTCCAGAGCTTATAAGTGCATTCACAAGACCAAAATAAATGTGAAATAGTTTCAGGATGTAAGCCACAAAAGGAGCATTTTACATCAATGTCATTCTTAAACTTATTTAAGCATACATTTGTGGGGTAAAACCTGTGTAATAACTTGAACGAGACTTCTTTAATTTTGTTAGTTAAAAGGAACTTCTGGGGTAGGGACCAGACTTTTTCCCAGTCTATGTTGAGGTCAAACTTATTCCAATAGAAGGCTGCAGGAGAAATAGAGACTAGGTCCGCCTGAAACAAGGATCTAATTTTGGAGTTCGATGCTTTATAGGTAGAAAAACAGACTTTACCTAACGGAAGCTGAGTTGGATCTGGGGGTGACATTGATAATGGTGGAGAGATATCAATTGACCTGAATAACATACGAAGACCTGAGGGCACAGCATCAAAAACTATAGAAAATTCTCTTGGGCTTACTGGAATCTTATATTTGGCAAGAAATTCTGAATAACTATATAGTAGTCCATTCTTATTAAAGAGTTGACTGACTAATAAAATACCATTGTTGAACCAATTATCGTAAAAAAGCGACTTGTTCTTATAAACAATATTGAGATTGTTCCATATATAACACCTCTGTGGAGAGAAGTTATGCTTGTAAAGCAAAGCCCATGCTAAAAGAGCCTGTTGGTGGAAATTGGAGAGTTTAACTGGGATTTTTTGTATTTTATAGTTACAGAGCAGAATAAATTTTAGGCCACCTAACTGTGAAAAGACATAATGAGAAATAAAATTCCAGATGGAAGTAGGGTGTTTGAGATATTGCTTGATCCAATTTATCTTGAATGTGTTGTTGAGAGAGCTAAAGTCTATGAAATTTAAGCCCCCTTTGTTGTAAGAATTCAGAACTACAGACTTACGAATATAGTGAGTTTTATTTTTCCATAGAAAATTAAATAGCATCTTATCGACAGATTTACAAAAGGAGTTATCTACATGTAATGACTGAGCAGCATAGGTTAAACGAGAAATACCTTCCGCCTTGGTGATTAGAACTCTGCCTTTCAGAGAAAGATCTCTTTGTAACCATCGGTTGAAAACCTTTTGAGTTTTTTCAATGAGGGGAAAAAAGTTTAACTTACCTCTGGCTTTTCTATCTTTGGTGATATGTACACCAAGATATGTGACTGAGTCTCTTACAGGGATATTATACACTACGGAAGCAGAGCAGTTATTCACTGGTAACAGTTCACATTTGCTAAGATTGAGGGTGAGACCGGAAGCTTTAGAAAAAGAGCGAATAAGATTAATCGCAACTGAAACCTGTGAAGCATCTGCCAGAAACAAGGCTGTATCATCCGCCAACTGACTGATTAAAATATGATTATTTGCCACACTAATGCCTTTAATAGGACTGTTTTTAATGTGTAAATTAAGAAGTTGGGCAGCGAGAAGGAACAGATAAACAGAAAGAGGACACCCCTGCCGTACTCCACGCTTTAAATCAAATCTAGGGGATGTACCATTGCTTAATTTAATAGAACTGTTTCCATTAGCGTACAAAGTTTGGACCGATCTGCAGAAGAACTGACCAAAACCGAACTTTTTTAAGGTTTCCATTACAAAATCGTGCTCTAAGGAATCAAATGCTTTATAAAAGTCTAAGAAAAGAATAAAACTGTCTTCATGAACTAGCTCAGAGTAGTCTAATAAATCTAAAATCAATCTCACATTATTTGAGATGTGTCTATTACGCATGAACCCAGATTGGCTCTCATCAATAATAGAGTCTAGAACTGATTTCAGTCTCTTGGCAAGTATAAGAGCAAAAATCTTATAGTCACTATTTAATAAGGAAATGGGGCGCCAATTATCTAACAGGAGAGAATCTTTCTTAGGCTTAGGAATGAGTGTAATTAGACCCTGACTTAATGTAGGTGGCAAGGAACCTCTATAAACACTCTCAGCAAAAACTTCTTTTAAAAATGGGGCTAGGCTCAGAGAAAAATGCTTATAAAATTCGGCAGTAAAGCCGTCCGTTCCGGGTGATTTATTGATTTTTAGTTGATTAATGGCATTAGTAATTTCATTTAGAGAAATAGAGGCATCACAAAAGTCACAATTAGCTTCAGAAATCTGATTGATATTAGGAATAGAATTAAAAAAACATGTGGCATCTTGAGGACAATATCTAGAGGTGTAAAGATCACTGTAAAATCCAGCACAATACTTGGCAATTTTCTTTGAATCATCAGTAATTGTTCCATAAATACTTAATTGTTGAATGGTGTTATTTTTTGATTGCTGCTTTTCTAGTCGAAAGAAATATGCAGAATTCTGCTCGCCCTCTTCGAGCCACCTACGGCGAGATCTAACAAAAGCACCTTCCGCTTTTCTTTTATATATCTCGTCCAACCTATGCTGCTGATTAGTAAGCTCCAACTGTTCTGACTCAGTAAGTACATCTAAAGACTGAGAAGTTAAGGATGCAATTTTAAGTATAGTATCGTTTTCCTCTGTTCTTCTTTTTTTAGCTAAATCACTACTGTATTTCCTGAGAAATTTAGCAGTTTCGTACTTTAACAACTCCCAGTTATTGCTAAAAGAATTCTCACTTTGAGCTTTGTCCCAGTAAAGCCGAATAAAACTCTCAATTTTAGAAGTCACTTCCTTGTGTTTAAGGAGTGTACTATTAAGTTTCCAATAAGAGGTTTTAGGAGAACCGGGAGAGAGAGAAGGAATGAGAACTTGAATAGTCTTATGATCAGATAGGGGCGATGGTAAAATGTTCGCAGCTACATTTTTCAGATCCTTGGATATAAGCCAGAAATCAATGCGAGACTGCCTTGATAATGTTTTGTTGCTCCATGTATATGATTTCTGTAGCGGGTGAGTATCTCTCCAAATATCGGTTAAATTAAAACTATTTAAGAGCGTCTTCACATAAATATTAGAGGAGTCCGCATTCCTTGCAGGCAACCTATCCAGGCAATTATCTAACACGGTATTAAAATCTCCCCCCAAAACGATAAAAGAATTTGGGAATTTAGATAACCAGTAAGAGAGTCGTTCTTCCAAATTATCAAAAAAACTTTTGTTCTCTGTTTGAGAATTGAAGCCATAAGCATTAACTATAATATAATTTACGCTAGCAATTTCTAGAACTAGAAATATGTAATGACCGCTTTTGTCACAGTCAGAGTTTAAAACTTTTCCACTAAAGCGGTTTTTTAAAACACAAACACCAGCTGAGCGCTCAGATCCGTGAGACAGCCACAGGTCACCCCCCCACTGTGATTTCCAAAAGTTAGCATCCTGTTCAATTGAGTGTGATTCCTGTACAAAACAAAAGTCAGTATTAAGCTGTTTACAGTATAAAAATATAGCCTTTCGTTTAAGGTGGTTTCTTAAACCTCTTGTGTTTAAAGAAATAATAGATAAAGACATAAGAAAAAAGATAAAGTAAACAAATACAAGAAAAACTAGACCAGAAAAATGGTAGTGCGTATACGAAAATAAGTAGGATAAGGTCTCTACAAAAGCGCCAACATGAGTCTGAGAACAGCAAACCTTATGTGAAATTTGTGAACAAATGCTATCAGTACAATCAATCAAACTGTAGACATTTTATGAAAAGAGTCCTTTGCAAGGAGAGGCTAAAAAGCACCCGTTTTCTTTTACTCCCACTCAAATTTGTAATTATAAAGAATTATTCTAAAAAAAAAATATTATTTTTTTCGAGGAAAAGTAACTATACATAAATGAAAGGATGATAAACAGCTTTTGAAACGCTATCAAGCCGTGATAGTTGAAACAACAAAATAAAAATATTGCTGAACATATGTGACATGCTATGCATTAAAAAGCATGTTAGATCAATTTTTGACACACCTCTGCTCCAAAGAGCAACTTTGATTCAATAACATAAATAGCAGGTAATAAAACCTGACTAAATCACATAAAGAACATATAAAGTAAAGACAGCCTTAAGCTGTGTAACTTACTAGAATTACCTCATCTACAAAGTCTCAAGGTGGGAGAATTTCCTTTCCACCCACAAAAGCACGACCGCCCACGAAGAAAGCTGGCTTGCCATCTTTCCGAGCCTGATCAACAACGGGCCACAGTTTCTTTCTTTTCTCTCTGTCCTCTGCTGACAAGTCCTCCGCCAGTTTCAGGTTTTTGGTCTTCAGGAAGCCGGAGTTCTTTGCGGAGCGCCACACGGCATCACGGTAGAATCTGGAAGAGAAGCGCACGATGACACCTCTCGGTTGAATGTTACCAGGCTTCCTGGGGCCGAGGCGGTGAATGACGTCTATGGCATCTGGAAGCTTGGTTTTGGCCTCTGGAAGCAGACCCTGGCATATCTTGATAATCTCGTGTCGCAGATCCTGCTGATCGTTTTCTTCTAGGCCGTAGAGCTTGAGATTCCAGCGTCGGGAGTACGCTTCTAATTGAGAAACACGCTGCTCAGTCTTGTCAGTATTAACTTTGCAAGCCTCAATCAGCGATTCACAGCGGTCAACTCTCTCTTTAACGCTTTTTACTTCAGCACAAACAGCATCAAATGAATCTTTAATACCGGCGATCTGCTTGGTGTTTTCTGTAACTGCCATCTTCACTTCGGCAATCACCAAGGAGTTGTCACTGACCAACTTTTCCAAGGCATCTGACCTGCTGTTTATCAGCTGAGAGAGGGAGGAAAGCTGGGAGAGGATTGCGGTAGTTGTCGTATCTTCCACACGTCTCCATTTAGGTGCAGGTGATTTAACCGGGGTGATGGGAAGTTGCGGAAAATTGTCATCCACTAACGAGACCTTCAGTACCTCCGTGTCTGACTCGAGGTAGTCGTGCATGTTGTCAATGAGCATGTTGTTTGTATCTGACTGCTCAGTGGGAGCTAACGTTTCAGTCATGTTAGTAGAACACGTACTAGCAAGTGCTTTTTTAGCGCCGCTTTTCCTCTTCTCCTGAGGCTTCATTTTCTCAGCAAAGGTAATCAGAATACAGCCGGACAAACGCGGTACATGAACTAAAAGCAAAAAGTCCGTTTTGTACACTCTTTAACAATATGGAAAACAGTTCGGTTTGCGGAGCTCAGAGAAACACGTCCACTCAGAGCGCCATCTTGGTCGACCCCCGCAAGCGCGCTCTTTCTCGCAAGGTTTGGCTGCATTTCACGTGTAAAATTACGTGTCAGAACGCCCTCTGGGTGTGCCGATAGTCTGAATCCCATATAGAATCAAGCCAATTCATTGGCTGCATGATGGCGCGGGCGCCGCATCGACGCACTTACGTCGTCATACTATGTTGGCGCGCGCGCGCCATCTGCTCCTCAGATTTCTTTGCCGAAAAAGGAAGCTGGTCGGCAGCGCGAGGAGCTTGGCAGCGTCTCGTTCCCTATTGAGAGATATGTTACACCAGTAACCAGAGATGTTCTCTTTCATAGGTTCACTCAACGCTGCGTAGCTAAGAAGCAGTGGATTTGTAGGCTGCTGTATCACGTGCCGTTTGAACTGACGCGCTACAGCGATCTGTCACATTTCAAAGAGCCAAAACGTTATTTATTGTGTGAATCTCGTAAAAATATTGACAGAATCTGACAGCTGTGGATTTGTTCCATATCAAAAGTAACCTTCGCTGTCTTGTCTGTCCGTGTCCTCTTTGTCCGCGATTTTTCTGTGTGAAAAGGGTCATTTGCGTGAGTCTCACGGTCAATGCGTGAGAGTTGGCAGCTCTGCCTGCTAGTAATCTCTATTAATCTCCAGTATTATTACATTGTTTGATACAATATTGTTTCATTTGATATTATGTAAATATGAATTTTTATTTTATATTGGTTTTATTATTACCATATGTTACTTGTATTTATATTGTTTAAAGATTTAAGTTAATATTGTGTCCAGTTTGGCCCTGTAAATTAAAGGGTATTATTTTTTGATAAAGTGTGTGCGGTTTCATTTTCTTAAGGACCGATTTAAGAACCGTTTAAGCACCGGAACCGTTTAAAAAATACCGAGTAGGTACTGGAATCGGATAAAACCCAAACGATACCCAACCCTAGTCATAACGTTCTGTTTGTATCCACTATCAATATCAGATATATTTCAATATACACAATATATTATAAATATAAATATCCAAAAAAGCTACCAACTGCTTTCCAAAAAAATGTAAAATAATAATAATTCATATAAATTCATAAGATGTGATTAAAAGGGAGACTTTAAAAAAATTATCATGAAGGTCCACCTTTAATCATATCTTAAACTCCATTAGTGGGGCGTGAGCAGATAGTAAAAAAAACTTATAAATTACAATTCATAATAATTTGCCAAAATGTAAAATAGATAAGAATTACCATGAGAGTGTGTTGGTTTAGTGGCCATTAAACTAAATATATGATCTCAGAATGACATGATCAACTGATCAGAATCAAGTATTCCAGAATATTTTACAATTATTACAAGTGCAGGCTAAAACAAACAAGTTAAAGTGATTGAAAATTCTGTCATCATTTTCTCACACTCATGTTGTTCCAAACCTGTATTTATTTCTTTGTTCTGCTGAATATAAAGGAAGATATTTTGAAGATATGTGTGTATTTTGTCCCACTATGGAAGTCAATGGTGCCCCAAAGGGGCCTGCTTACAAACTTTCTTCAAAATATCTTCTTTTGTGTTCAGCAAAAGAAATTCATACAGGCTTGTAACAACTTGAGAGTGAGTAAATGATGAGAGAATTTTCATTTTTGGGTGAACTATCCCTTTAAGACACGTTTAAAGTGCAGTTAGAGAAATTCTTATACACTAATATAACAGTTTATAATATATAAAGCAAGTTCAAACACGAATTGCTGTAATTTCTATGATAAACCCCCTTGAAAAAGGAAACAGAAAGCCATACACCAAGAAAAAAAGAACAATGAACTTCGTAACACACGCAAGCACACACACTCTAGTCTCTGAGCTTCTCTCTCTTTGAGCAATACAAGAACTCTCATGCCTTGTTGAACACAGTGGTGGGGAGCCTTGCAGATCGCAGCAGACAGACAGGCCTCATTCTGGGCCATATTACAAGGTATAGACCCATAGTGCCACTCAAACACCCCAAGACACACACACACACACACACTCCAGACTGATCAATACCTGCTTGCAGTCCAGCACTGATGTGATCTATCAGAGCCCTGATGGAAGTCAGTCTCTTGTTTCCTCGTGTCAACACACACTAATGAGCTCCAGCTTCACTCATTCAGCCTGGATATTTTGTCACAAGACTATGTGTGTATCTGTGAAAAAGAGAGCTAGGTTAAGATATAAGCCACTAAAACACTATATATCTACACCAAATGTATAATACAATATATACATAATGTTATAAAAATTAAAGCAGTTTCCAAAATGTTGAAATCACAATTTTGAGCAGTATAACAATTTGATTAAAAAATTAATAATTTCCTAAAAATATATATTATATTATACAGGAGTTCACGGTCAATGTCACAAATTAGATATACAAATATTTCATATGCAATAGAACATATTTCATACAATATTTTGACATAGAACAAAAAATCTCTAAATATCTGTTCTATGTCTTAACTTTCTATTTATTTCCCCATATATACTGTATATATAATTTTTTTTTATCTGGTCTCAGCCTTTTGGATCCACATGTATATACACACACATTCCAATCTTAACCTTCAATATTACAAGCGCAAGTATCTGATCATCTCACCTTTTAATCCAACCCCTACCATTCACATTTAATGAAAATCTGATAAAAAAAATATATGAGGTCATCACCCTGTCTTATCTTTCTTTTATAAAAAGAATTAAAACTTTTATCTTTAATTAAAAGGTTAGTTATTACCTAGGAAGAATTTGAGACAAAAATGTAATTTAGTCAAACAAATGTGTGCTTTTGATCTTATTTCCAGCTTTGACTGCATCCCTGAGCTTTAACACTGCTCTAATGGAAATTGCACAAACACTTTAGTAGTTGAATCTCAGATGCAACAGACAGCTAAAAAGAGACACTGAGTCTAGAATGATATCACTGATGAAGGCCTGTAAAGTAAATATTGGTGCCGAGATTGAAGCGTCTGCCTAATGGAGACGGTTTTTATGACCTCTCCTAAAGGGCCGGGGCAAGATGAGGACCTTCCCTCTCGGTCTCTCTCCCTCTCTCTTTCAGATCAAAGCAATAGCTTGGTTGGTCTCCAGAGTCTCATTGCTCTCCCAGAGTTGAAGCAGCTCACGGTGGCTCTGATTGCGGTTAGTGGCGCTGGAGGGGGGAGCAGATAAAGGGGATCCATCTTTCTAGCGCCCCAGGATCAGCTTCATCACCTGGGCATCAATACGTCCCATCAGACCCTCTGTCACTGTGGCTCATTTGAATGCACTTGATGTGGGAAAGCTGGAAGGCAGATTGGAGATATTTAGTCGAGAGACAAAAATGAGCGTTGCTATAATAAAAACATTGGTTTTTGATCAGCCGAATCCACTTAGCAAACCCTTCCTACGGATTCCTGAAAAAACATGCTCCACAATTTTCATGCCATTAGTTAAATGTTTCAATCCACATTTTAATTAGATCATCATTAGAATGTTCTTAAAACAAATGGAACATTTGATTTGCTGTCTTATTTTATCAAAATTATATCAAAAATCTCACACTCCCATAATATCACTTGTTCTCAGAATGTCAATAGAGTTTTCCATAAGTAGGTCCAATCAGTAAATACATACATAAATAAAATCCTGTTTTTCTAATTCATTGATTTATTAAAGCGAATACAAGATTGGCCAATGGTTATAATAAATGAGTCATTATTTTTGTACTGTATATGACAGCGTCAATTCATATTGAGTCATTGGCAAGAAAATTCACATTGTATGAATGTTTGGTAATATGAAAATGTAAGAGGTTTATGTGAATATCACGAAAAACCAAATCCTTGGTTCATAACTTTAATGTCTTAAGCCCTGTAGCCTGTATTGTCCCAGTACTCAAGAATAAGATTTTGTTTGGATATTTTCCAGACTTGAAGACTAATGAGAAAAGACAGAATACTAACTGTTAATTACTGCCGGTGCCACAGAAATCTCCTTGAGGAGGAAAATGGAAACACACATCACATATAATACGCTATGTATAATTTGTGGTATAAAATAAATGGAAAGAAACATCACATCATATTTGTTGGGCCTACAGATGCTGGTAGCTGACAGTTTTTATTAGAGCGAAGACAGACGTGTAGATAGACAGGGAAGCAGGGGAGACGAAGGAAAATGCAATGCAAATACCAGAGTCTGCATACTGTTAAAGTTGACAAACCCATAAAAAGTCACACAAAGGGATCACAATGGCTTGATAATGGTCATAAAACAGCCATTTCCATGTGGTCTGAAGCCTTGTAAGCAGGTTCTCTGGATGTTGGCTTGTCTGAGGGGTGAAGAGGGCTCCTGGCTCTGTTGTTCTACTGCCTGAAGGAAAAATCAGCTCGGTGACCAACGCATTTGATTAGCAACAGAGACAGACGGTACATCCAAACCTCTGCTGTCCCTCACCCATGCTGTCAATCATAAAACATTAATGTGTATGCTCAGCATTTGTTCAGACACACACAAAAGATTTTAACAGGAGCACATGCAACATAAGAACTAACATGATTACATGTTAACTAAACCATACTCAAACAGCAATTGATGGGGTAAGTAAACGTCTGTCTCTGTGACAAACTGGGCCAAGTATATGGGATATATCTATCTCTGTGATAGATTGACAGGTGAAGAGCCCATAACCAGACCAGACAGTACTGATCATGGAACACAGCCAGTAACACTTGACAGTGCTTCTTAACGGGTGGGTTACGACACAAAAATAGGTCACAGGACTGTTTTGTCTGTGGACAGCAAGGAATACACACATAAGAACCTCGCAAATCTTTTGCGTTTCCCTGATAAACTCAATGAATGCAAACATTTTGGAACGCAAAAGCATTTTTCCTCCCATATCATATTTTCTCCCCAATCATCTTGTACCTTTAACAGTTGTGCCGCTTAATATTTTTATGTTAACATTGATAAAAAAAAAAAGCAGGATTCTTCAAATCTTGTTGAAAAAGAACATTATAAATGTCTTTTGAACAGTACTTTATCTCACACACATTTTAATATCTTCAATGTTTCACATTATAGCAATCTTCCGCGGCGAATCTGAATGGTCATTGTAGTGCTTACCCATTCATGTCTTTCTCTTTTCTTCCATGTTCAGATGAGATAAGTGCAAATTGCTCCGTTTGGCCAGAATCTGCCATTCCATTACCCTTCAGCCCCTCTGGGAATGGACATATCCATGCTCCTTATGACCCCTGACCTTTCTCCATCAGGACATGGGGGTGAAACACAGGGTCTCTTTATGGTCACCCTGACTCTGGGGTCCACGGGGATGTCACCCTGATATGTTCTTCTACTGATGTTTTTCATGGCTTTTCTCTGGAGACCTGCAACAAATTGTGGTAAACTAATGGTATATTCGTTTTTTAATGACAACAGCTGGAATGTGGGAGTAAAATACCATGACATATAATTGCTACTAGAGAAATGTTCATTCTCTATTTTTAACAGGATATTCACAAATTCGCATTGCATTAACTTAAGTTGAAAGAGTGATAAACCTTATATGGACTTTTTTATAAAATAGCAGAAGATGCTTTGCATGACCCTTCACTAATCTTGAGATGCTGATAAACTCATTCAGTGATGGAATAGCTGGAAATTCAACACAGTCTGATTTATTGTCAGGCCAGCAGTAGATCACACTAACATTTTTGTGTTTCCTCATTGGTAAATGAGGCTGGTGGTCAGAGAGCTCAAGCCAAAACGCCACTGATTTACCGACGGCTCATCGTCTTTGTTTGGGTAAACGCTTGAGCAGATCATCTGGTTAGGTTCACATCATTCTCACAGTAAGATGGCAAACAGAAGTAAGCCCATTTCCTGAAAATCAATACCAACATGGCAAACTGAGAAGGCAAAAAATGAATAACATTAAGACATGGCTCAGTGACTTAGAGATTACACAACATTTGCCATGTGAAATACATAGCTTAAGGGCAAGAAAATAAAGATATGAGAAACAAAGGAAAATAGCATAAGATAATTAACAAACAGTAAGAATTGCTTTCCAATTGTGCAAAACTCGAGACATGGAGCATTAGGGAGAATGTCAGTCAAAATTTCACTAATATGTCAGGCAAGTGTCAAATATTTTTTCTTTGCTATGTCGCTCTTTTTTATCCAGATCTAACAGAAAGTAATACTTGACTAAAGAAATAAAAGTCCTTAACAATGCGTCATTTATCCCCAAAAATAGTTTCTGTTTCCACAAACATTTATGGATTTATTGCATTCAACTCATATAGAGTTCGCAAAAAAAATTGAAAAAGTTTCCCTTACTTCGATCTTAATGCGTGTCTGCTCTGAGAACTCTCTCCACAGCTATAAGGTTCTATTCCATCACTATTACTCACCTGTACTGGTGCAGATCATTTTACTTTCACAAATATACAGTGGCCCAAAAAAGTATTTGGACACTTAAGCCACAGTTATAATAAATATATTGTTCAAATATGACTTCATACATCCATGGAAATGACCTTTAAAATAATTGAAAAATGTCTCAGAAAAGTTAGTTCTGTGGAAAAACTCTAGCATCATTTCTTTAGCGATGTCTCTTTGTTTGGTATTTTATATCTAATCCAATGAGTCAAAAATGTGTGGGGCTTAAGTGTCCAAATTCTTTTTGGGGCCACTGTATATTTGTGAAAGTAAAATGATCTGCACCAGTACAGGTGAGTAATAATGATGGAATAGAACCTTATAGCTGTAGAGAGTTCACAGAGGAGACGCACATTAAAATCGAAGTGAGGAAAACTTTTTCAATCCAAACTCTTCAAACCCTCCAAACTCTATGAATACGATACTAGCAAATTCTCCTACTGATCTACAACATCTCAGCCTACTAGAGAGACCCTCAATTCTGGATTCATTTTCCATCCTAATGAAAGCTTTCCTATACTAACATCTAACAGATGAAAGTCCACCTTTTTCATATTTCTCTCTGATTGCAGTAATGGCCTTATTTATGAGTGTCCATTCCAACTGAAGCACAGAGCTCAGGCCAGGCGGAGCCGGAAGCGTGATGAAAATTAATCTAGTAATCTTAAAATCCTTTCCTCGTTTTTCAAAAACTACCCCAATTCATCACTAAAATCAATGACTTAGATCGGATCGTGCCAGGTCGTTAGGTAAGGCATGATTAGACTGGAAAAATCAAGGCCAAAAACGTCCCAGACGTCAAAGGAACTCCTGGAACGAGAGCTTGTAAATGCACAGAGGAAACAGCTATTGTTAATACAACATGTTGTAATAGCAACACGTGTAATGCAAGTTTAAGAAATGTTACCTTTGGGACTTTCTTTAGCTACCGTTCAGTTAGTGTAATTATAAATGGCGTGTTATTCTACTAATATCTCTAACATATGGGCTGTAAAGAGGGAACTGAGCACAATGGATCAAAGTCCTCATCAATAGAGGCCCACGGCCGGATCCAGAAGCCCCCTCAGTGCTTACCAGCATCCAGGCCTCTCGCCCACCTTCCCATCCCTGATTAAAACAGAGATGGGGCCCCTGAATTCAGCACATGTGGGCGATTACAAGGAAAACCTTCAGCAGCGTAATTATCGGCAACCGACTGTAAAAAATATTTTTTTTGAGTTATCACAACTTTTTTATCTTTTGTCAAATTAACTTAGATAATTAATGTGGTTCAGATAACATATTTTGAGTTTGTATTTATTAAACCAATCTCCTTCATTGTTTTTACTAAAATTGTTATTTTCAATGAACTCAATTTTAAAGCAACCAAGTAACTTAGTTTAAGTTAAACCAACAAGATTTTTTTATGAAACATTGTCATTAACTAAAATAAGTGTCAAAACATAAAATACAACGGATTAAGCTAAAATACATTTTCATGACTCTGCATTGAACTAAAAAAAACAACAACAACCACAACATTTTAGATATATAATATCTAAAACAACTATAACACAAGTATAAGACAAAATGTGAAACTATAACAACTGCATTAATTAAACAGGAAAATGCCACTAGACAGTAAAGATAGCAGACGGCCCCGGGAAATGTAATAATATTAAAAATGTATTTTAAATGTGGCTGTTTGGGAGCGCTAGCAGTCAGAGACAAAGAGGGGTGTATTTTTCAAAAAGAGGACTTGACTAAGAAAGTGCAACGCTTTTTTTACTCTTGTGCAGATTGAAAAAATTTGATGTGTTGGAGCTCCGGTCAATTGCTTATTTTGTGACCCATTCAATGTTTTAAAAAACATTTCCCTATAGGGATCTCCCAGTCACGTGACCCCTAGCCGCTTGTCAGCCATTTTGACGGAATACATCCGTCGGCTACTCATAGATCCATTGCCGTGGGTAATATATATTATTAGTATATTATACTAATAATATAATTATTAGTATATTAATATACTAATAATATAATTATTAGTATAATTAGCCTAAATATTGAAATACTTTGCGCCATGGGCGTAGGTTTGGTCTCAGCTTTGGTGGGGACATCCCCCGCCCTGGATAAAAAGTGTCTGCTAAATGAATAAATGTAAATCTGTTGTGGTTTGATGCTGTCTTTCCTGCATACAAAATGGTTGATTAATTTTGTAGTCTATCCTATGGCTAGCAAGTTTAACCCTCCTACCAGATATTGTTATTTTGGATATTATCAATCAAATAATGATTTATAATATTTGAATAACCAACAGTGTTAACTTTTGCCTTTTTAACATTGCCAACATGTTTTTCCAGCACATGTGTCGGTAGGCTACACTCACAAATACATTACATAAACAGAATGTAGAAACGAAAAATGTCTCAGATGATCCACTGTTTATGACGGCAAGATTCTAAGTTAAGGTAGGCTAATTAACATTCAGTGACTTGCTAACGTAGCATTCTATCATGATAGTGCGACTTCTATGAGTCTATCTGTGCTGCACACCCCTAATTAATGCTCCTAACCTTGAAAGATTGCAGAAGCTTCAAGCTAGGTTTAACTGTAACAATATCCTGGGTAACCAGGATCACCAGTTAATACTATTTTCCACTAGAATCTGCATTTGAAAGCCTGGTCAGTCACTACTACTGCTAGTTATTTTTGCCTACTTACACTCTGCTTTATGAAAAAGCTTCGTATGTCCCCTTTCTTCTTCTTGGGTGACATAGCTGATCTACAAAGTACAAAAAGGGGCAAAAAACCGGAATATTAAAATGTTTTACTCTGGCCTTTGTATATGGCACGCAGAGACAGCCCTGGTAACTTTTACCGTCGGCGTCGTCACGCGCGCACACACACACACCACCCGCTCGCTCGCTGCCAGTGAGTGCAAGCACAAAAAGTAGTCCCGGCCCGCGCGTGTAGCCTGCCTGTCAGATACCCCGCCGCCAATCAAATTACGGCGTATCTTGTACTGTCGTCGTCCTGGCCGTTGGAATCGATCCAAATGCAGCGCAAAGATCCAAATGCAGCGCAAATATCAAAATAGCAGTTCAAAGGAGCTTGCTAAATATTGGTGGGGACAAATGTGTCATCTCAAAATATTGATTGGGACTAGTACCTAGCGTCCCCCCCTAAACCTACGCCCTTGCTTTGCGCTACAGTATTGATATAATTGAATGCGCAAAATCATGGTACAAAATATCTCGATACTGAACAGAATCGATTTTTTCCCCCACCACGTCATGTCATCACACTTATTATTAGCATCACAAAAATAAATATACAAGAGGAAGATAAAGGAATTAGGAATCATATATCCATATGAAGCACCACAAGTTCTTTTTACAGGCATTAAATGTGTAGAAAAACTTCCTGACATTGAGTTCGGTGACATTACAGCTACCTTGTTCACTTCCCATCACGCTACACCGGAGCTTCATTGAAAGAAAATGATTTTTCAATCATCACCGCAAAGGTTGGTCAATGTATTTTTTTCATCAAATTATAGTACCTACAATTTTTAAACTGAGTTTACAGGGGAAAACACAAAACAAAATCACCAACAAGATTAAGTGCATATTTTGATTACCAAAAAACAGGACACTCGGCCCGGCAAACAGATAGGCTACTCAAATGACACTCGAAATTTACTCAAAGATGCCTTATTAATTAATACATTTAATAGCCTCCTCTGTATGGATAGAACATTGTTATATTACAAGACACAAATTAAGATAGGCTTCTCAGAGGTTACTCAACATGTTTTATTATGACAGGTTTAAAAAATAATCAATGAAATAATGATAGAAATAATGTCTCTTCTGTATTAGAAAAATAAATATATAAATAACTAAAAGAAATACCTCCAAATTGAACAAAAATAGCTCTCACAAACTTACAAAAACGAACTAACAAAATGTATTTATACCTTTAGTTTTCTTCCTCTTTATCCTGTTTTTCTTCCACGTCCTTGTTTGCCCATCTATATTTTGCTGTAGAGCTGATCTTTCCAAGCAATTTTTTAAAAACCAGGACATTTTCATCACTTTATAAAAAACAGCCAGGACAGGACGTAAAAACAGGACATGTCCTGGGAAAACAGGACTGTTGGTCACCCTAATTAACTGTATCTTTAATGAATTTGTTTAATCTAGTTTGATCCAAGAAAAACGAAATAGCCTATATATAGGCTACTTTTTTATACAATCACTGACTGTCACTGTAGTATGATAAACTGTCATTGAGACTGTCTCAACCTGTGTTTCTAACGATTTATAAGTGTCAAATAAAATACAAGATCAGCTTTTGGTATTTGAAAACGAAAGAATGTAATGTGATAATAGGCCTAACGAATTAACTGATCTAGGAATGTATGTATGCGTTTTGCCTGTTAATTGCCGCCAACCACTTTTCTCCGTTTTGTTTCTTTTGGGATACGGTATAAAGATATTCCTTTTGTATGATCACGTATCTGATCGCATCCAAATGCACAGCATCGCTCGGGCATGATAGGAATATTTCGCGACGAGCTGTATTATCACCGGCGGTTTAGCATTTTCTATACCGTCAAGATGGCTGCTCCAAATGGCGTGACGTCACGCGGGACGTCCCTATAGCTGGCATGTCTACTGCAGTTATCCAGGTAGCTGCCCTTGATTACAAGGACAGATGCATCCCAATTAGCATGCCGGTCCGATTAACACGACCACCTGTACTTCAGAAAACAGGGCAATACCCCTGACTGATTCTGTGAATGGGCTTTAAAAACCTGGTCCAAAAGATGAGTCATCCTGCAGCTTCATCAAGTTCAGCTCACATCCTACTGCAATCAAGAACATTGAAACCCAAAGAGCCGGGAAGCACTTGGGAACAACTGCTTCCATGAATCCCTGCAGTGAAGTGCAGTGGCCAAATTAATCTCTTCATCTTCTCTCTGGACATCTCTTATCCTCTACTGTCATAAACTTGGCCGCTCTAAAGATTTACAGTCACGTCTTCCTCTCTCTCCCATGCTGCTTTTGAGTCTAATTACTTTAATGTTAAAGCCTCGGCCATCTTTTTAGACACAAATTTTCTAAGTTCCATGAACCAAACGCCAGAAGAGGCTAAGAATAACACTCCTCATCCTAGGTTTTTGAAGGGATGATGTGTGTCCTTGCATCATGGATTTTCTTCAAGCTGTACAATAATGAAGTCATTTTCCTTCGAAAGACTTGCATCTTTAGAGATCTGCTGGCAAATTTAGCTACTTAAGCCGAGTTTTAGCCACAAATAAACCTTGCTAAATGATCAATGACATGTCAAAATACCAGGGTCTATTAAACTCAAATGCAGCACATAAATGGAGATGTCTTATGCAAAGACTGTGAATAGGGATAATTTGAGATGTTAAGCTGGTGGCCACCCAAAAATGGCTACTTCTTTGATTTAATTTGGGCTCAACGATTGATTTATGTGAACCCACCTGTTTGATGAGTTTACAGTAGTTTTAGCAGTCTTTTTCTCCCTCCAAACCATTCGAAGGTCTCCAGAACACGTCCTTGGGCTGTCACTGTTCTGCAAAGGCCGAACTTTTCCCAAGCTGCAATATTTCCATGTGATTCCTATGTGCCAGGAATGAGACAATATTAGTAACTTGGGTTTAAATATTGTTTCCACTGGTATTTCTGCTGTAATCATGACAATGCTGTTTGTTTTCAAGCTTTTTTAATAACAGAAACTGGGAGTGATGATACATACCAAGTTCTGTCATGAAATGGCGCAGGCTGATGGGTCCTTAACGCAACCTGCTGACAATTACATCATTAACCCTTAAAGACCTAAACGGCCGCCGGCGGCATAAAAATAACTGTAGTTCTTAAATGTTTAATAACTTTTGAACCACTAATCCAATTTGTATGCTTTAAAAAGTCCCATAAAGAGGAGATTCGCGGCTTTATTTTGGTATCGGGTTCATCGCGATTGGACATTCAGATGCTCCGTAGTGAATGTGATTGCATCATCAAGTTTTGATCAGCATTGATTCGTCAAAGAAACCCATGTGATTTGTTCCTCTGAGCCAAACCACCAGCAGTTTGTTGATGCTTAGTCCCACCCCCAAGCCCAGATCGGTTGAAACTACATAAATATATATAAAGTCACATTTGCTTCAGTGCTCTATTACAATGTTTCTATTTATTTTTCTTCCTGAACTTTTTTGGACACATCTACATTGTAAATAACACCAGATTTTCACTGAAAATCGCCTATAATAATGTTATAATAAATGGCTATAACTTGCTTAGGGATTGTTACATGTAGTAAAAATTTCATCTGGAAATCTAGAATATCCAAGTACAACTTTCTAAAGGAAAAAATCCAAACTTCAGGAGGATTTGTTTGAGCTAAGTAAAAAAAAAAACACAAGAAATCTCCTGCCGTTTTTCTTAAATCTGGTAAATTTATCCATTCTAAGACAAAATAAATGTAAAATTGGTAATTTAAATGAGCTAGATTGAAACATCAAGTTCTCTTGTTTAAAATGATATATGGTAGGCCTACTTGATGCTGACTGCTATAATGGGTTAGAAAAACAAAGAAAAGAGCAGGCGAGTCATCATGTGCTCCAAAAATGGTCTAGGTCTTTAAGGGTTAACTACACGGCACAGGCGGATTGGTTCGTGTAGCATCTGCAGCCAGTTGCTGCTCAACATTTAAAGTGATTGGTCAGTGGAATGTTTTTGCTGTAGAAGTTTGCAGTGCACTTTCAAAGTTCCTCTGAAACCCTCCACCCTCCCCAGCTCCACCTGTTTAGATCTGCAATTTGTGCAGCAGCAGTATGTCTTACATCAGTGTATCTGTGTATGTACTGGCAGTAGCAAGTCTCTTTACAGCCACGTAGCAGATATATTCCGCCAAGACCAAATACATTAACATTGCCATATCCATTACCATGCTAAACTCTTCCGAGAGTTGTATTGATAGAAATTAAATTAATTAAACAACCACACTGCGTATGGTAACAAAATAGCTATAGCTCCGTAATGGCTATACGGGGTAGGTTTACATCTCGTTTTTTTTTCTGGGTTTTTAGCATTTTAATTATTTTTTAAATATAATTAAATCATTTCAAGTTATCCTGTGGCCCCCTGGTTGAGAAGCACTGGTTTAAAATGACATGAGAGTGAGTGAATTTTCAGTTTTTGGTAAAACATTTCTTTAGAAATAAAGCATTTTATATTACACAAGAATGAGCGGCTTTCTAAAAGCATTCATCCCTCAATGCTTTTGGTCCATCAAAAACAAGTGCTATGATCTCATGCATCCTGTACAGTGTTTTGTGTTCTACATACGTCAAAATCCGGTGATGATAGAGTGTCGACAACAGTTCTGCCAGTCTTCATAACAACTCCGCTAACCCCATGATCTTGTGTCTTGTGTCACTGCTGACTGGAGCAGGAAGTGAGCAGTGATGGCTAGAGATAAAGTAATCTGGTGCTGAGGTCACTGCCATTAGAGAGCCGTTTCTTTTCGGTGTTCACTAGAACTGGGTCAAATCATTGGCTCGTTCTAGCTAGGAAACAACTGTTGATTGTGAGCTGAGCACATGAACATTAGGTCTGTGGCGAATGACGTCCTTTGACTTTCTTTTATCTTAAGGGAAGCCTCCTGCTTGTATCTAAAAAATGCTGTTGTGACCTTCAGAGCTTGTTGTCAAAGTCAGAATATCTTGTGAGAGGAAAAAAAAGAAACAAGTTCTTATAACTAAAGGCTGTCAGGGGGCAGGGAGAACTACTGTAGAAGAACAAAAGCAATCAAGGAGAGAGCCTGCACTATTCCACCAAGCGTGGCTTCTCTCTTTACAGAGAATTATTAAGTACAAAGGCGGTAGTGGTCACAGGATGGATTCTATTATTACTATTTTTTCATTTCTTATTGTTCCCTGAAATTTCATTTCAGCTTAAAAATAAAAGTGCAGAGAAAGAATGGTCTCTGTGTGTGTGTGTGTGTGTGTGTGTGTGTGTGCGTGTGTGTGCGCGTGTGTGTGCGCGTGTGTGTGCGCGTGTGTGTGTGTGTGTGTGTGTGTGTGTGTGTGTGTGTGTGTGTGTGTGTGTGTGTGTGTGTGTGTGTGTGTGTGTGTGTGTGTGTGTGTGTGTATAAACGAATGTGTATGAGACTGTGATAAGGTAACTATTGCTACACCATCAAAGGTAATACTAGACATTTTATATCTGGTGTGGTCTTTCTTGTCTCTGTTAGATTTACAAATGTTCCATCGCTTAGGGTTCTAAACAAAAAGTGGATAGAAATGGAACATCTAGGATGTATGTGAATTGGAGTGCCAAGAAATTAGCATAGTCTGGAGTTATGAGGCTACTAGATTGATTGTAGAACATACAGTAGTTATATTGTGTATTATATACACTACTGTTCAAAAGTTTTTTTTTATATATTTTGATCGTTTTTTTTTTTTTTTTTACCAAGGCATTTCTTTGATCAAAAACAGTTAAAACACAGTAACATTGCGAAATATTATCACAATTTAAAATACCATTAACTATTTTAATATATTTTAAAACTGTAATTGATTCATGTGATGGCAAAGCTTGACACATCAAGATGTGCTCCCCCAGGTTTGATCAAAGATTAATATTGTCTCTGTAACACTTTACAATAAGGTTTCCTTTGTTAACATTACACATTAACATTTTACATTAGTTAACATGAACTAACAATGAAAAATAATTCTACAACATTCATTAGTCTTAGTTTATGTTAATCCCAGCATTTAATAATACATTTTAAGATCAAAAGCTGTACCTGTTCACATTAGTTAATGCACTGTGAACGAACACAATCATTTTATTTAACTTCATAAAAGTTAATAAATGCTCTAGACATGTATTGCTCATTGTTAGTTCAAATTGAACTCAACCCTCATGTCGTTCCAAACCCATAAGACTTTTATTCATCTTTCGAAACACAAATGATGAGATTTGAATGAAATCTGATAATTCTGTCTCTCGATTAGACAGCTACGCAACTACCATTTTGATGCTTCAAAATTTAATAAAGAAATTGTAAAACTAATCCATATATTAAAATTTTCCGAAAATTTTCATTTAAAATATCTAATTTTGTGTTTTGAAAATGAACAGGTTTGGAACAACATGAGGGTTAGTAATTGATGACAATATTATTATTATTTTTTTTACATTTTTGGGTGAACTGACCCTTTAATGCATAACTAATGTTAACAAATAAGACCTTATTGTAAAGTGTTACCTGTGTCTCTTTGATGTTCCATATATTGTATGAATATGTGAATGAGATTTGAGATACATACTGCTATTCATTTAAATATGCACTGTGAGGAAAAAAGAGGAGAACAACAGAGAATAAGGCAAGAAGAAGGAAAAGGGTAAAAAGGCCTGTAGGCATGGACAGTCTTGAGAAATCTGCGGTGGGCTGGAGAAATCCCGCATTGTGATTGGTCAGAATCTTTTGACCTGCAGGAAGATGGGGAGAATAATCAGTACAGATCTGACGGCTCGCTTCATGTGCTCTGAGCTAATGAGAACACTTAAATTCTCTGCTGTCTGCATAATGACTCTCTTTATCTGTAAATCCTCAGCGGTCTGTTTCTTAACCATCCTCTCTCTCTCTCTTCCTGCTTTCACATGTGGAATGCCGTGGATGAGGTAATCACTCTGTGCATGAAGACTGTATCTGAATCGGATTTGAAAGCCAGAACTGCTTATAATATTACCTTTAAAATTAAGTCGTTTTTTTAACAAACGTGTTGGATAAAGTGAAGCTGTTTTTGCACTGATGCCAGGTTTATTCATTTGTTTAATAATCGTATGAATGATCTTATCCTTTAGAAAATACAGAAAAAATTAAATAAGTTAAAGAACCTTTTAAGTAGGAAGCAGGGCGAGATCGAGAGCCGTGGGAATGGAGCGAGGCCGGTGGTGCGAATGCTAATAATCCCAAGGTCTTGCATGCGTGCCACTCCGGCCTCAAATCTCACGGAGGAACTCTGGAAGGATAAAAGGAGGAGTGATGACTGTGAAGGACGAGAGAGGACCAGTCTCATTAGCATTCTCGCCACCGGCCTCGCTCTGTTCCCATGGCGTTCGGCCCCGACCTGCTTGCCACACACATATTATATTATATTTACTTCACAGATTTTTTTAAAATATGAAAATATAAATAACATAACACCTCTCACTCCCAGCCTTAATTAGTTTATTTAATGTTTTTTTTTTTTTAAATATCCACCTTTATAATAGTTTGCAATCCTATTAAGTGAAATGCCCTACACCACAAACTGAACATTTTAAACTAAATAAAATTACTTGTATGTTTTAGATCTTCTTTTTTTTAAAGAGTTTCTTGGCTCATGAAAACATCTAATTAATTACCAGAAGAGATTTGCCTCAAAGCTCCTCATCAGATTTGGTTAATGACTTCAGGGAAGAGACTGTTAAACATGGCCGCCTGCAGAGAAAGACAGGGACAGGCAGGCTGCTTTCAGTGAGGTCCTCCTGGCCCACACAGACTCTGGGGTTTACCTACCGAAAGCTTCCTGTCCCATGGGCAACAGCGGATATGGCTGAGAGTGTGTATGAGATAGATAGGTGGGGGTTCGTTTTATAGCCATTTTTTGTCAAGCACTGCTGACCACCAGGAAAAGGTGGTGAACACTGCCAAGATTCCAACCTCTGGAATTTAACCTAAGCAGGGGAACGGGAGCCATCGACCAGCAGGATGCAATGCTGTATATG